AGAAGCAGGGAGAAAGCAGTCCAGTAGGAGAAGGACAAGGAGACTGGAGTCACAGACTGTGTCTGTCACTCAGAACAAGTGCGAAACACCTGAGTCTGCTTCCCACGTAAAGTGAGGAAGGGCTGACTGATGATCTCTAACATCCCTCCCGCCAAAGATCATGTTTTCAGAGAATGTGTAATGACATAGGGAATGCGTGCAATTCAATGCCAAGTGAAAAAAAGCAAGGCTCAAAATTATACGTGCAATTCTTGTTTCTGTAATTTAACAGAGATTCATAGTAATTTTAAATTTCTTCTTTATTCTCTGCATTGTATAAATTTTCTACAGTGGATAATATTTCTTTAATTTTAAAATGTATATTTTATTAAAAAATAACTTACTTAAATAGGAATGCTCAATTATTTTATATCCAGCATAAATCAGATGAATCACTGACTATGTAAAGATAAAGAGTAATCCAGTTGTAAGTTAACTTATTTAATGTTAAAAGACAAAATCGGTCCTTTCATTTTTCCTTCACAATTCACTTCAGTCACTAGTCTGGGGGCCCAAACTGAAAAAAAGAATATTCTTTGACACTCATAAATGGTGGTGAATTGAATTATGCAGATTCAACTCAGCACTGTTACTGTTTTTAATAAGTTTAGATAGTAACTCATACCTCACATTAGAAATTCTAATAAAGTGCTTAAAACTGAGTGCCTGGAAAGTAATTCTTTCTGTTAAGTGCTTCTACCTATAAGAACTTCAGGAGAATCTATTGATTCTTATAATTAATTAATAGTGCATTTGTTTGAATAAAGTTGTAATTAATACAAATTTGTTTGGATGAGATTAAGCATGGGACTATAATTAACAAAAAACAAAGACAGATTTAAAGGAGAATAAAAACACCTCCAAAGACCTACTCTACTTAAAATCCTTTAATTTTTCAACATGTATGTTGTGTACATCTAGTAAAAACATCCAAAAGGTTACCCACCAAAATGTTAACATTGTTTAGCTCTCGAGTATTGGGGCTCAGAGCTCTCTTTTTTTTTCTTTTCTGTCTTCCTAATTTTTTGAAAATAAATGTATTTTGTAAATTTAAAAACTTTATTAAGAAGAGTCCATAGTTAAACATAATTATGTTTGGCAATTATGAGGAAAAGAAAAATAGCAAGATTTATACTGATGATAAAACAATCTCCAAAGCCATATAATTTATAACCATGTGTGGGAGAAGAAAGAAATAAGAAAAAGAAGTTAAAACTGAACACTTACTGAGTTATGAGATACAAATTTAACTTTTTGCAGGAATGAGAGAATAGGGCAAAACCAGGATAGTGAGATCCCAGACACACAGGAAGTTTTGTTAATCAAGAGTCAGCTCTGGGTAAAGTAAGGGCGGAGTATTCCATGAAGAGTCCTTGCTGTCCTCACTGTAAACTGGTTACCTTCCTCACCATTCACCCACGTCAGGTGAGTCATGAGTGGCTGAGATAAGCCCTTCCACTCGTGTACCCTGGTGCGGTCCTCACGTCACTGGTCTGGAAGGATGCAAACATCCATGGGTCAAGATTGAAATCAAGAAAAGTAGGAAGACTTCTGCTTGCCAAGAAGCTTCACATGCCTCCCTTCTCACTTCCACTTTTCTCTTTTAAATTCTGAGCTGAAAGAATTTTTGGTGAAAGACCTACTGTTTCAAGTTTGACAAGAAAAACTGAAAATTATAATGAAGCATTTGGCAGGTTTTCCAAAGTGCACGTGTGTACATTATCTCATTTAATACTCAAAAGGATCTTTAGAATTCTTATTACGCCCTTGCTACTGATGAGCAAATGGAAACTGAGAAGGGAGAAAGGACTTCCTAAACTGGCAACTAGAAACTGTCAGTTGGGCTTCTAACTCCCCACCCCAAACACAGGATTAACTCCATCACTTTGTCAGAGGCACGTAGAGAACATCGACAGAGGGTAGCTTTTCAGATATGAACACGTACTGGATACATAACTATACAATGAAGTAAAAACTTAGATATATTTATTTCAAAGGTGTAATCTAAGTTAATTTGAAATTCTGATTTTGAAAATATATAAGTCACAGTATAGAGAATTATAAGGTGTATTTGTCTGAATATGATTAAGTATGAGAACGTTAGCTACATTTAAGTGCACTTTCAATGAATGCCATACATGCCAGAGCAATCTTTTACATTAACTCGACAGCAATATGGGAGAATGTTAGCCTGAATATTAAAAAGAAAAAACACAGTAAATTGAAATTGTCCATAATTGCTACTTAGCAACATTTCAATCTCATAAAATTTTTAAAAGCACAGAAGATGTACAGAAATAAAACTATCATTTTTGTGCCTAAGCCACAGTTGTCAAAGGAATCATTACTGAGTTTTGTTGACTTGAGTCTAAATTTTTATCAGTGACACTGTACTTCCATGGCGATGTTATAAAACTGTACTTCACTTGGACAAAGATAAAATATGTAAGAGAAGTCTCAACACCTGAGGTCCTAAGGCAGGAGCCGAGGGGCAGCCCCCGCCGCCCAGAAGCAGGCAAGAAACAGAGCAGGCCCAGGGTCCTAGGCAGGAACTGAGGGCAGCACCCCCCACTGGGAAACAAGGATGGAGCACGCCGAAAATACCTCTTCCTCCCCGACACAGCCTCTGCCACAGCCAGCCTCAGTTGCTGCAAAAGCAACACAACACCACAGCAGTAGCCACAGCTACTGTGCAGGTGGCCCGCCAGACGCTCGACTTCAGTGACACAAGGAGGGTCACCAGCAGAGACATGAAAGAGAAGAGAACATCTCTCTCCTCAAAGCCCAA